ATATATATATATATAAAGAGCTCTGTCTTATTTTTGTTTCTGAAAAGGAGCCTGAATGTAGTATTGTTTTTAAAGTGATTGCCCAGTAGATTAGATGTTAAATTAGTTATTTATTATATGTAAGTATTTTGTTTAAAAGAAAAAGTTTAAACAGAAAAAATTATCGGAGAAATATCCTTAAAATTATGTACATTCACATGAGATCATATCAGTATTCTAGAAAAGGCTGTTTTATTGTATGTTGAGAGGGTCACCCCCTCATGGGTGCCGCCATGTTGAGATCACATGACCAGCGGTGTCATTTAATAATAATAATAATAATATATTATGGAATTTATTGTTATTACTCCAAATATAATATACTTACTACAGAGTCCTGTTGAAACTGAAGTAATGTAAGTAGAAAAATACATAAAATGTTTTGTTAAATATGTATTGACCACAATCTCCTGTCATCTCTCTTGCAGCTGACAATGAATGGCCTTTCTGTGAGTGAGTTGTGTTGCCTGTTCTGTTGCCCCCCCTGCCCCAGCCGTATCGCTGCCAAGCTTGCCTTCCTGCCCCCTGAACCTACCTATGCCCTCCTGCCCGATCTGGAGGCCGGGCCGGTACCGGCCGGACCTACGGGGACGTCAAGCCTCCGGTCCCGGGGAGGAGGTGGCGGTGGCGGGAGTTCGGTAGGGGGGGGGAATGCTCTAGGGGAGGGGCGCTGGAAGCTCCACCTCACAGAGCGGGCAGAATTCCAGTATTGCCAACAGGATCTGGATGCCACAGAAGTGTTCCTGACTCGATCTAGTAGGGGGAACAGAGTGGGCTGCATGTATATCCGCTGTGCCCCCTCTGCCAGGTAGGATGGATGCATTTTTGGATGAGTTGTGATTAGAGGAGTTTTTTTTTTTTTACAATAATATATGTTGAACTCAAAATGTCACGTATCCTCTGATGGACCCCCCTTTTCCTCCCATGGATCATTTACATTCCTTCATTATTTTTCCATTTTCCTTTGTCCCATTTCCTGCTTCCCTCTCTGAGTTTGTCTGCTATCTTTACCCAGAAGCCACTCCTTCCTGGACACATTCTTTCTTTATCACGCGCCACTTTATTCTCACTGTTATTCTCACTTGTTCCTTTGTTGCTTTATTTCCTCTTCGATTTTCAAAGGATGAGTACAGTTGTTTTTTGTTGTGGTATGTACTGTGAATGTCTTCACTACACCAATTACCTGTTAATATGTTTTTGGAAGTCTGGCTTTTATATCATATTTTTATTAAAAATGTTTTTTTTTTTTTTCTTTAATAAAGCTGAAATTATATCAAATATAAATATTTGATGGAAAAACAACAAAAAAAAAAAAAACATCCTGGCCTCTAACTGAAATAAAATAAAAATTAATGAAATAAATTAAAATGGAGAGTACAAAAGAGTACAAAAGGAGAGTACAAAAGCACTTAATAAATTACTAAAACTACAAATAAAATGAAAACTGAAAACACACAAATATTAAAATAATACTATTATTATTTTAATAATACTATATAAGAAGTGATACTAAAATAATACTGTTTGATATACCATGCCAGGTTTTTTTTTATGATTCTACACACACACACCCGTGTTAGTTATGAAACTGTTCCCTGCGGCGTATCGGGCTCAGGCTCACTGCAAATGCGCCTACATGCCCAGTGATTCAGCGAGTGAAATTATAGGTTATTAAGTCTCTTTGTGGATCCGTCTTGACTTAGATGTTGAGTCAGACCTTGAAATAGTATAATGAGTGTACTAGAGAGTGACTTTGTACTGCAAATCCCATCATCCCTTTTGTCTGTCTCTCTCCTCAGGTTCACTGTCCTGTTCTCCCATGGTAACGCAGTGGATCTAGGCCAGATGAGCAGCTTCTATATCGGCCTGGGCACTCGCATCAACTGTAACATATTCTCTTATGATTACTCCGGCTACGGGGTCAGCACAGGGAAGCCCTCGGAAAAGAATTTGTATGCAGACATAGACGCAGCGTGGCAGGCTCTACGCTCACGGTGAGACATGAAATCAATACCAAGGCACAACCAAAACAACGGCATGACTGTAGTAGAGTTCAAGGTTTACAGTGTTGCATCTTATTGTATGATCTAAGCAACTGTTAAAAATTTAAATCAGTAAAACTTTTTTAAATAGTTTTATTATGCAGATTGATAACTAGTGATAGTATAAAGATATTTATAAGATTTTTTATAGATTTATAGATTTATGTGTAAAATAAATGTTTGTAACCTAAAATAACATTTTTGTTTGTTAGCCTATATAAGCCTTTCTTAAAGGGGTCATATGACGTTGCTAAAAAAGAACATTATTTTGTGTATTTGGTGTAATGAAATGTGTTTATGCGGTTTAAGGTTCAAAAAACACATTATTTTCCACATACTGTACATTATTGTTTCTCCTCTATGCCCCGCCTTTCTGAAACGTTTACAAAGTTCATCGGTCTGAAAAGCGAGGTGTGCTCTGATTGGACACAAAGTGACGTAGACGTGGGGCCGTGTTTAAACAAGGTGTTTTAGGAGGGCGTGGACGAGTCTTAACTTTTATAAAGAATTATCTTTTTGGGTTTGAGACTTTAGTCTTCGCAACTTTAGGGATCTTATCTATTCACAAACAGCTTGTAACACTCCAAAGAGAAAGGAAAACTTGAAATCGCATCATATGACCCCTTTAAAAGTGCTAAAAGAATCCTTAATAGGATCAGTAAGAAACCATTAAGTGGAATACAAACCAGAATCGAACAGAGCACAATTTTCTTTAATTCTGGACTCTGAATATTTTCAAAGGCTGATGAAAATTCACATTGCACTCTGTGTGAATAGTTCTGGCACAATTTTTTTTCCCAGCAATCTGCAATTCATACTGGTCTTGGTGTGAATAGGCTGTAAATCACATTGACATGAGACAGTTATTTGTTCATTATATTACATTTAATTGGCTTTTGATTCCTCTCTTTCAAACAGATATGGCATCAGCCCAGAGAATATTATCCTGTATGGACAGAGCATTGGCACGGTGCCTACAGTAGACCTGGCATCACGATACGAGTGTGCAGCTGTGATTCTCCACTCCCCCCTCACCTCTGGCATGAGGGTGGCCTTCCCCGACACTAAGAAGACTTACTGCTTTGACGCATTTCCCAAGTGAGTACCAAAAACTTTGGGTTCCTCTTTGTGCTCAGTTATTTGTGTGTTGCTTCCATTATACTGGAGGATTGACAGGGCATCATCATTGCGGTTTGTTTATGAGCTGATGATTTGCCTTGTCATGGCCAGCACAGATTGCAGCTATTTATGAGCGATTCACTGGGTTTTGGTTTTGGCGAGAGCAAACAGAGTGTGTTGTGATGTGGATTGCTGCCAGAGATTATACTGAGCTTCTTGTTTCGACACAAAATGCGTCTGACTATCACACATTGAAATATATAGATGCAAAGCATTTTTCAATCTTAAAATTAGACCTTCAGCTCTTGATTAAAGGGAATAAGAGTTATTATTCTTCAAGTTTCATTACAATCATTTTCATTGTTGCATGTCAGCTGTGACAGCGATATAGTGGAGCTCAGAGGGAGGTTGGCTACGCTCAGTGGGCGGTGTCACTCAGTGCCAGTGTAGCAGAACACATGGTCGCCATACAGCTTCATTCAAAACCACCACTGTTCTCGTACAAATGCTGTGTAGTTGGCAGGCAGCTGTTTAGTTTGCTGGCACACATTCATACACACGTGTATACAACACATGCACCACACTTGAATGTAGTTAGCTACATAACAATTTGTAATTGTTGTTATTATTTATAAGTATTTGTATGTTCTGTTCGAAAGTTTGTAGTCCATATGTAATTTTTTTGATGCTGACCAAAATTAGTAAAAATGGTAATATTGTGAAATATTATTACATTTTAAAATAATAAATATTTCTATTTCATATAATGTAAAATGTCATTTATTCATGTAATGGCAAAGCTGAATTTTCCTCAACCATTACTCCAGTCTTCAGTGTCACATGATCCTTCAGAAATCATTATAATATGCTGATTTGCTGCTCAAGAAACATTTCTTTTAATTATCAATGTTGAAAACGGTTGTGCTGCTTATTTTTGTGGAAACACCATTCTTTCAATAGAACAGCATTTATCTATTTCTTTTTTTATTGTTATAAGTGTTTTTACTGTCACTTTTGATCAATTTAAATGGGCCCTTGCTGAATAAAAATATTAATTTCTTACATAAAAAAAAAATGCTGACCCAAACATTTTAAAAGTAGTGTATATTCTATTATTACAGATTATGTATTCAGCTGTTGAATTATACAGTACATTTAAAATATTTGGCATAAAAAGTGAACATCAAAATTTGAGTGACATCTTCAAAAATTAAAAATAAAATACAACAAATAAATTAGAAAAGCCTGTTACTGGAAAGCTACAGTTTGAGCTGTTATCACGCTACTGAAAAATGAGTTGGAGCTGAAATTAATTTATGGTGTTTCATTGATCATATATGTCAAGTGTGAAATTAGCTTTTCAATCTATTAAAGGGGTCATATGATGTTGCTAAAAAGAACATTATTTTGTGTATTTGGTGTAATGAAATGTGTTTATGCAAATTTTTTTCTGTGTGTATTGGGGAAGTCGTGTTTCTTCTAAAACCCTGTGTTCATTTGTGTGTCCCTGTTTCAGCATTGAGAAAGTGTCTAAAATCACGTCTCCAGTGTTGATCATCCATGGGACAGAGGACGAGGTGATAGATTTTTCCCATGGGCTGGCCCTGTATGAGCGCTGCCCCAAAGCCGTGGAGCCGCTGTGGGTGGAAGGAGCCGGACACAACGACATCGAACTGTACAGCCAATACCTGGAACGCCTGCGTCGTTTCATCGGGCAGGAATTGGCCGCACAACACGCCTAAGCTCTCCTCCGTCTCCCTCTTGTCATCCAACCATCTCCCAGTCTGAGCGAGAGTGAGATGGATGCGTCAGTAACTTATTGAAGGCTGCCAGTTTGTATGGACAACGTTACTGTTGGAGCAGCTTGACACATGCTCCACTGCTCAGATTTGTTTTCTTAAGTGTTTTCTTTTTTTCTCCCTTTGTTTGTCATCTCCTTGTGCATGTGTGTACGTATGTGTGCGCATGGGAACTCTGGGGGATGGAAGTGGAATTTCTCTGGAGCAAGAATGGATGGACGAATTCCTCTGCCGGTTTCAGTCCAAAGGAAAGAAGCCAGATGCTGTCCTGTACCTCCAACCTGATGGTGTTTCTCAATATCTGAGCATTCATTTGTCAGTTGAGCGGTTCACATCTCTGACCTGCTCCCATGATGCCTCAGCCTGTGAGATCTTCACTTCCCACTTCTCATCAGGCAGCCTAAAATAGCTCATTCTCTGAGCCTGGCAAATTTCCTAGCCTTGCTGACCCTGCAGGATGGAAAAAAACGTTTGTTAATGTGGAGGATTTCAGGATTAAGTTTTGAAGCATCCTACACAGGTGCAATGATGCCCACCTCTGCATCTTCATTCATTCGTTTAACCATTTGGCTTGCTCTGGACGGTGTGTGTGGGTCCGTCCAATGCTGACCTCTATTCCCTTCCAATGAGTTTTTGCCTTTATGTAAAAGCTGAGCTTGGGATTAGATGACACCTAATGATCTACACCGCTCCAGGCAGGGAAAGCTCCAATCCTGGGACGTTGGCTTTTTTTCCCAGCATTATCAGTCTTTTTTTTTTCCTCTTTGCTGTCTCTTTCCTTTTTTCTCAGCATGTGAGGGTGTCCATAGCACCCCGAGGTGAAAGAAACTGGGAGGGCTGCTTGCTCATCATCATATTTCAATGAAACCACCACACTTGGGATGACATGATATGGAGTACATTCACGTCCAGATCCATACATCATGTTTCTTAACTGTTGGGCCAGTAGAAAGATCAAGGTTTCATTATCTTGTCGGGACTTTCCTAAAGCCAGATCTTCGGTGTAGCACACAAGTAGTTTAACCTTTTGAATGGGTTTTGGGTTAATAAATGGTTTAATTGTGTAAGAACAAATAATGCACACAACGCTGGTAGCAGTCAGAGGTAAAAACAGAAAGCACTTCTGAACCCTGTGGCAAAGACACACAACTTGCAACCAGTTTTTCTCGTTTTCAGCCTGACGTCAAGTATGTTTCTATCACGGGAATGTTATTCCTCTCTTGTTGGCATTTGAAATGGAGCTCAAGCTATAATCATGCATATTTACTCTGTCTCTTTGGTGATTGTTATGTTTAAGCAAATCGTTTCAAAGCAGAGCACATCATTTAAAGACTCCTTTTAATGATAATAAAGGATTTCCCTTTTTCATTCAACGCCAAATTGCTAGTTAGTGGCACATGGTTTAATCCATCTAAGTAGTGTTCTGAGCTGTGGGTAGGTTTAAAGACACAACAGTGAGGTCATCTAAAACCTATTTTTGCCGTTTCTAGTCAAGCTGCTCGTCTTCAAAGGGAGTTTGTCTGATATGATCTGGATGCAACTATGACTCTTAAAGTTATCAGGTGTATTAGGAAGATTGTAACAGCTTTGAAAAACACTAGCGGTGAATTCATAAACATTCAGAGGTGTCTTTCTTTCAAACTAAGCTTTTCAACTGTGAATTATCAAGGGAACTTGCTGCTATAGATCTTGATTGAATGGTCTCAATGAAATTAAAGGGCCGAACCCTGCAACCCTTTGTTGTTTTCCGATGCATCAAAGACTACCATGCCTTTTCAATGAGATAAGACATCGCTTCCTCTTTCTGCCGTGATTCATTCGTGCACTTTTAACACTGTGGGCTGCACAGTCATTCTGGATTCCACAACAATTTGTTTAATTTGATTAATTTCAATATCTTGTCTGGGTAGGTCTTTGCTAGATGAGTATTCTGATTTTATGGCTCCAGAGTTGATTAGACATCTGATTTAATCTCTAGATATTCTGTTTATTGTCTCTTTTTTTTCTGGTTAACATTTATCCATCCACTCCACTTGGTCTGTTAGTATGTGCTCTGATTAAACTGACTCCCATTAATGTACAAAGCACAGTGATTCTGTATTCAGAAAACACTGGTTTGTACATAATATCTGAAACCTAATTCCAGCAAATCTGATTCCATGTTTCATCATGTATTTAAGTATGTACTCTGTGGTTGGACACAAAGGGGCTTCTTCATTCTCCATTCTAACCAAAGATGGCAGGTGTTGGAGTTGCAATGGCCGCCCACTGCCATTTGTCAGCGCTCAGATGTTGATTGAAGGAGGAGGCGGTGGACTTTGGCTCTTCAGACAGAGCCAGGTCTCACACAATACTGCCTGCTGTTAATGCCGCAGAGGGGAAGTTTTTGTGTGGACTGTTGGTGCGTGTTTACCTCCTGTAAGACACAAGTGTTTGGAGGGCCGAAGCAATACCGACTTGGAGCCAGCAGACTGGATGTGAGGATGCTCTGTGTGTGGATACAAGAGGGGAGGACGTTGGTTTGGGGTGGGGTTGGAGTTACCCAGAGGCTCCATCCCAACACATTCAGATTCAGCTCTTATTAAGATTGTTTTTTTTTTTTCTTGTTTATAATATACACATTTACATTAGTTGATAATTATTGTAAATTATCATTATTATCAGTCAAATAATTGTAAACCTAACATCACACAGGAATATCACATTTATACAACAATACATTTCCATTATTTTTAATTAATTTGTTTTACAATTACATTTACATTTATTTATTTTAATAGATTTTAATAATTGGACAGTTATTCATATTTTTAAATTTATATTTGATGTATTTTATCTTGAACGTTGCATTATGAATTGATAGTTATTGTAAAGATATTTTCTTGAACAGAAGAACTTGAAATAGGAACATCACATTTACATACAGAAATATTTATATTTGTTTTAGAGCATTTATTAATATTTAAATAAATTCAATACACATATAAAAATGTCATGTTTTATTTAACCTTTAACTTGGCAATATGAATTGATATTTATTGTAAATCTTGTAAAGTGAAACAGTAATATCACATTCACATGCCAATATATTTACACTTATTTTATATTACGATTTGTTTTAAAGCATTTATATTTAAATACATTTAATACATGTATTTAAATTTAATACATTTATATTTTAATGTTATATGTATTCATAATTAACCTTGAATTTGACAGTATGAACTGATAAGTTATTGTAAGTCTATACATAATGTATCATATCATGTAACATGCTGGAACACATTTGTATGCTGAATACGTAATACATTTACATTTAGTCATTTAGAAGACGCTTTTATCCAAAGAGACTTACAAATGAATACATTTTAATACATTTTAAATATTTGAATACATTTATTTACATTCTCATTTAATACATCTATTTTGTATTTTAATATTTAATGTATTTAATATGAACTTGAAATGATAAATTATTAGCTATTGTAAATCTCTTTTCTTGTAACTGCTCTCAGAACATCACATTTATATGGTGATATATTTTACAGGCTGAGCGGGGCTGAGTTTCCCAGAATCCTTGAGCTATAAAAATCCTCAAGAATCGTAAAACGATGGTAGCAGCTGACCTGCATATTAAATTGTGATCCTCAACTCCTGTGGCACAGACATTAAGTCCCAACAATCAACGATGAGGCATTTATAATTCAAGGCACAGAGAGAAACATTTTGATGTGTGAGCGTGACGGATAACGTTCTGTTGCCGTTGGCCGTGTTTTGTTTATTCATCATGTAGCTGAATTTCTCTTTTCATCTATGTAGTCTTCTCCTCAGATTCATCAGTTAATGCCAAACCGGTCTCAGGACTCTTGATTTGAATCTTCCTATGGAAAACAAACCAGTACGAGAGTGTATGTGTGTGGGCGTACAGAGAGAAAGGAGTCACAGAGGATTTCTGGAGCAACATATGGGTTCTGTTATTATCTGTAACAACAACAACAACAACAAAAAAAACTCCAATTATCTGCCTCGTTTTAATTACTGCCCTGTGAGCTTTGGCATGACCCAGACTATCGGCAACAGCTACAGTCAATAGGCATTAATACTGCCAGATGGGATTTAAGGCCTTCTGTTAAATGCACACACAATGCCTACATCTGAACATGTATGTGGATATGCACACAAAACCTTGTTTCTACAGTCTAATCACACTTGGATTATTCTCACAATGCTAATTTGCTTGCATGCAAATGCATCACATTAGTTTGAGATTGCTCTAGATGTGATATGCTAAATACATGGAACATTAAAGGAATATTCCGTGTTCAATTCAAGTTAGGCTCAAACTACAACATGTGGCATAATGCTGATTACCACAAAAATAGATTTGGACTTGTATTTGGTAACAGTCAGGCATTCACAGTGATAGTGAATGGGGTCAAGCTGTTAACATTAAAATACTGTATTGCCACAACATGTAAACCATCCCTGCTGAAAAAAACCCCAATAGAAACCATCACAGAATTTGTAATGGTTTTACTGGTTATAATGGGACTTGTATTGGTTTTAATGGAAACTGTAATGGTGCTTGTAGGTTTCTATTGGTAATTGGTCGCCTTCTATTAGTGGCTTGTTAATAAATCCTAATGGAATATGTTCCAAAACACTACAGGAAACCATTTTTAATGGTTTTAATGGTTAAAAGTTGATGGTTTGTAATGGTATTTGTAGTGAAAACCATTGGAATTTCTGTGATGGTCTCTATTGTTTGTTTGTTTGTTTTCAGCAGGGATGCGTTTAGCATAATTTTAATGTGGACAAATCGCCACTAAGTAGGCTAGCCTACCTTTGTTGCCATAACAGCCTAACGCCAAAAAGGCCGTAAAAACACGCCAACAACTGTGTAGCTCACATAGCAAACAAGTTCTAGCAGAAGAATTAATGGAAGTATAAAATTATAATATTTACATTAACGTTACTATTTCAAATCCTCCAAAAAACGTAGGCTACGTGCCTCACTTCGTAAGAACTTTTTTTCTTACGAAAACGATATGATTTTGTGTTAACCAACATCATGCCATTTAAGTACACTATTACTTACTGTTTGAATCAACATTAGGCCAACATTTCTGTAGAAAACTCAGATTTCTTTCTTTCTTTAGCTCTTTGTTTAGGCCTACTGTCAGTGCAAGCTTTGTTACTGTACGTAGGCCTATTTATTTCAGGTAGATAACTGGACGAAAATAAGACATGTATCACTGGTTGCTTCAGGAGACGTGATTGTTTTTACCATAGCTATCCTTTGTCTCTTGAGTTTGTATGACAGTTTGCCTGAGGCTTGCTAGGGGGAGATGCAGTGCAGATTTCAAATCCGACCACTAGGGGGCACTCACTACATTCTCAATGCACTGAGACAAGCTCATTCAAATGGGTAAGTAATAATCAACTGTTCTACTAGACATAAATGTGGAAAAAAAAACTATGCTTTGTGAGTGTGCTGTACGTCAAAATTAAACGATCTGCTAAAAAATGACGTAAAAACATCCCTTTGAACTGCATGTCCATGATAAATCTCTCTGGGGATAGATAGACTTAATAGACAGATAGATTTAACAGACTAGATCTGACAAGTGCAAATATAACATATGAAAAGTGTCATAAACCGCATAATTTATTTTACATTCCACTTTTTAGTGTCATATTTATATATTTGTCAGATCTGCTCTATATAGATGAAGCTCTTTATTGAAGATTCATCATGGAATGACCCTTCCTGATAATAATAATAATAGAAGTAGCTATTAGAGTAGCTATCAGTTAAAAACTCAGGTTATTTTGACATCATTTTTTAGCAGTGGGATATCCAGCACACTAACAAGGCAGCACGTTTGATATTTGATTCATGCAGTGTTAGGTTTGCATTTACTTTCTTTTACTACATTCTGTAATTAGCATCACTGGTGAAACTCTTCCTTCCTCACCACAGCCACAAAATAAGTGTTTCATATCTTCACTGTCATCTGAGGTCTGCATTAAAGAAATCTGTGCTGCAGTCTCACTGTGGAGGGGGGAAAACATCAGAAGTATGTGTTTAGTCCTCACTGTGTTTGTGCCTGTGTCTACCACACTGCTAAACAAACAAACATAACCCAGAGTGCTTGTGAAAAGAGATAGATCTGTTGATGGAAACCAACTGAGCTGGAATATTGCACATTGCATTTGTCACGGTTATTGTTTTGTGTATTTTTCTTGAGTGGTCTTGAGCATTTTTTCCCAAGACCAGCTATGGCCCCCGAGGCCAGCGGTGTC